TCCTGTCTCCACCTGTCCTTCCTGTCTCCACCTGTCCATCCTGTCTCCATCTGTCCATCCTGTCTCCACCTGTCCTTCCTGTCTCCACCTGTCCGTCCTGTCTCCATCTGTCCGTCCTGTCTCCACCTGTCCATCCTTTCTCCTGCACCAGATGTCTGTCCTCTCCCGTCAAGTAACCTCGGTGAGTCAGGAGCTGCACGAAGTGACGCGCCTCCTCAAGCCTCTCTTCCACAACTCCTCCTCTCTACTGATGCCTTGCACTGTGACTCCGCCCCCCAGCGTGTCCCCGCCCCTCCAGACCCAACACGTAGATGTGGGAAAGCCTCCGCCGGTCCTGGCCCCGGACCTGTGCTCTCCTCAGCTGACCTTGGGCGAGGCGGTTCAAGGAGACTTGAAACCCCTTCACGGTTCCCCTCCTCCTCCTCCTTCTCCTTCTTCTCCCACCTCCCGTCAGCTCAGTTCCCCTCCCTGCCATTGCTCAGCTCCTCCTTCGCTCCACAGCTCTCCTCCTGAGCGCTCTCATCCCTGTCCTCCTCCGTCCGTCCCGTCTCCTCCTTCCCGCTCCTCGTTCACCGCTCCCCTGCTGGTTGACTTATCAGAACCAGAGTGTCAGCTCCACTTCACGCCGTACCGCTCACAGCCTCACCTCCAAACCTCCAGCTCACCGTCACACTCCCACAGGTCCCTCCTGAACCTGCGGGGCGCCGACTGGCGGGGGAGCAGCTCCCAGCTCAGCTTCGTGGACGAAGGACGGCCGGCGGTGTGACTGGATCCAGACCTTCTGAGAGGAGCAGCATGCCACACCACCACCTGCATGACGAACATTCGCACAAAGCTTTGCGCGGGCAGAACAATGTAAATATGTTGTTTTTAAAAACTGTTATTATATGAGCACTGATAATAAACTACTTTAACATCTTCACATTCCACCAAACGGTTAGGTTTTTTGTAAGGTTTAAGGGATTTACATGTTAGCTGGGGAAAAATAAGGTAAGTGAACGGTGAAACGACGGTGGTTCTGGTGGTTTTTATAGTTCCAGGACTCTGTGTGAGGAAACATCTCCTGGACAATTGAGAAACCGATGACGCTGAAGAAAATGTCAGGTAAACTGATTTATTTTTCCATTTTCCCCCCGTTCCTTATTTCATACCTAGACTCTGCCTTCACATAAAAATATTTTTACTTATGAGGAAATCTGCTTCATTTAAAACTTGTTTCTGCTCTCATATACACAGCTGCTCAGATAAATGTGTCCCGAACTCCCAGACTTTTTGAAATATCTGCTTTTGAACCTTTGAGGATGACATTACTGCCCCCTCATGGCTGCTTTTGTTTGCTTCACTGTTTTCCCCCCTCAGATCCTAAAAAATAAATTTATTCAATTTGTTTTTGTTTTTGTCCTGTGTTGAATCACAGTAAAGTGGAGATGTATTTGTAGGAACTATAGCTGTGCAGGAATGAAAAATTTTGTCCAAAAAAAGAAACTCTTCTGTTGATCCAAAATGCTGCTTGTTTGCTTATTTATTTATGTATTTATTGACTGACTGACTGACTCACTGACTGACTGACTGACTGACTGATTTACTGACTTACTGACTGATTTACTGACTTATTGACTGACTGACTTACTGACTGACTAATTTACTGACTTACTGACTGATTTACTGACTTATTGACTGACTGACTTACTGACTGATTGACTGACTGATTTACTGACTGACTTACTGACTGATTTACTAACTGACTGACTGACTGACTGACTTACTGACTGATTTACTGACTGGCTGACTGATTTACTGACTGACTGACTCACTTGCTGACTGATTTACTGACTGACTGACTTACTGACTTACTGACTGACTTACTGACTGACTTACTGACTGACTTACTGACTGACTTACTGACTGACTTACTGACTATTTTACTGACTTATTGACTGACTGACTTACTGACTGATTTACTGACTTACTGACTGACTGACTTACTGACTGATTTACTGACTGACTGACTTACTGACTGATTTACTGACTGACTGACTTACTGACTGATTTACTGACTGACTGACTTACTGACTGATTTACTGACTGACTGACTGACTGACTGACTTTTATTTAACCTGGCAAGTCCTGTTGAAATCTCAGATCTCTTTCTCAAGGGAGGCCTGGGCCTGAAGGCAACCTATTGTACATGTTTTTGCTGCTAATGCTGTTTTCTGCTGCTGAGTTCTGATGAGAGAAAGACAGATGGTTCGCTCAACAACAAACTCTATTATTTATTATGGATCTTATTGTTCCATAGTTTCCTAACAGAGCACTTCGCTCTCAGACTGCAGGTTTACTTGTGGTTCCTCGAGTTTCTAAAAAAAGAGGCAGAGCTTTTAGTTGTCAGATTTCTCTGATTGTGGAGCCAACTCCCAGTTTCTGTCTGTGAGGCTGACACTCTGTCTACTTTTAGGACCAGACTTTTTGATAAATCCTATAGTTAGGTTTTGCTTGGGTTTCTTGAGCTAGTCCTGCTGCTGTAGAGGACTGAAGCCCCTCCCCCTGCAGAGTGCCACTGTAAGACAGGGTTGTGCAATATTGGCAAAATAATAAATCACGATTAATTGTGGTATTTAGCTGATAACCATTAATTTGATGATTAATCCCCTGGAGTCCCTGGACACCCTTATGTCCTGGTCACATGACCAATTTAGTGTGAAAGATTTGCTCTTTGTAAAAATCTGTTCCAAATTGTGTAAAAATTACAGACGTCAGGCTATACATCAACTTTTAAACTGTGTTGGTAGATAAGGAAATTACAGAACCTTTTTTAAATGTTTGTTCTGTTGGAAGCAGAGAGGAGCAGCGAGCGGACTCTGCCTGGTGGCATTAATCGTATTATTATCAAGTGCCAAAAAATAACCAATTAACGTTTTTCTGACAATTAATTGCACACGATGCGATTATGCCCGACCCTAATGTGAGACAACGACAAGAACACAGCGAATGCATGTGGTGGAAATCAGTTTGATTAGTCTTTTTACGTCTAGTCTCTGCTGCACACAGACACAACACGCACACCTTTGCCCAGGAGAGATTAGCGATCACACTTCATATATTAAAACCCAGAAGCTAATGCTAACTGTCATGGAAATCTTTATTTTACCAAGACAGAAACACGAGATCCAAGAATAAAAAGTGCTCCGTGAAAGGTCAATCAGGATTTATTGCAACTGCAAGACACACATCATGTCACACAGGGCAGTGGTACAAAATGTGTGCACTGAGTCATTTTCAAATACACTCACTTATACAGTATGTTATCCAAACAGACAAAACTGGGCCAAGGAGAGAATGATGTTTGATAAACAGCAACAAGAATGTTTACTTCTAAACTGATATTGTCCTGATCTTAAAACACTTTGTCCGAGAGAAAACAGAAGATAAAGAGTAAAATCATTAAACATAATGACATTTTAAGGTAAGCAAAAGAGGCCACTGACTCTTGGCCTGAGAAGAAATGTAGGACTTTAAAGGATAATTTATTTTTCCAAGACACTAACTCAACAGCTAATACTCCCAGTGACCACAGCCACACTAAATCCTGAGCAGCTCACTGGACAGTGAGCTCCATTAACCACACCCACTTCCCATTTGTAGGCAATCATACAGCAGCTGACGCAAATGTCTTGAGAAAAATAAAGTTCCGCTCAGACTTTGTGTGGACGGGCTCTAGGAGCTCCTAAGAAAACAAAATGTCAAAAAATAAATAAAAAAAGAGAACAAAATGATGTAATTTTGGTCTCAAAAGTGTCAGAGAGAACAGTTGTCTTCACTGCTCACAGAGTATAAGTCCTGTTTTACTGATCACATTTCCTCACTCTGCTGCTCTGCTCTCCATGTTTACACTTGAGGTTATTACTGTCATTAACATGTTTTTCTTTTTTTTTTTCTCTAACCATAGGAACTACACCTAAACCCTTAAAACTACAGTTTCTCTGTGTCTCTTCACTGTCTTCTCAATACCCAGCTGAGCAGATTGAGGATTGTGTTCAAATGAAAAATTTAACCCAGTCTTCCTTAGACCAGAGGTTCTCAAACTAGGGTCTGAGGACCCCCAGTAGTCCGCAAGCCATATTTTGGGGGTTCTCAAAAAATTTCAAGAAATTGTTAATTTGGGGTTTGTATGTGGAACAATACAATAATAACCAAAAAGAAAAAATAAGTAGGTCCTCTGGATGGGTTCTTCTTCAGTTATACATTGGGGAAACAAAACAGCCACTGTTCAAAAGAATGAGCCAGCACAGACGAGCTACTTCGTCGGGTCAGGACTCTGCAGTTTACACTCATCTACAGGTCAGGACTCTGCAGTTTACACTCATCTACAGGCCAGCAGTCACTCTCTCAGGGATGAAGATGTTCTCATCCTTGATAGAGAGGAACGTTGGTTTGAGAGAGGAGTAAAGGAAGCCATCTTTGTGAAGAAAAACTGTCCACCATTAAGCAGAGGTGGAGGCCTTCGTGTCCAGTTGTCCTCCTCCTACAGTGCTGTTATTGTAAGTATGACTCAGCCCCCTGTGAGTAAAAGGTGTGAATCAGGGCCCCAATGATACCAACACAAAGAGGGAAAAAACAAAAACAAGGGGACGTTGAACCCCACTTGCATTCACTACAAACACATAACAAAACACCAAAGAACCACAGCCTAAGCATCCAAACCAATAAGTCAGGTGATGGGGCACATGACCCTCTACGAACAATAGAGCTAATCAAGCCTATTGTTTGGCTGATGGTCCTCTTTTGCATGTGACTAACCTGTTTGTCCACCATGTGGAGGCAGTGCTTATAAGGCTGAGTTCACCTGAAACTCATCAGACTGAAGAAGTCTCTTGGAGGAGAGACTAAATGTTTCACTAAAGAAGAACCCATCCAGAGGACCTACTGATTTTTTCTTTTTGATTTTTTTTCTACCTGGATTACTGAGATGCATCAGGACAATGCACTAATAAAACAAACATACTACACCAAACAAAAACTAATATTCCAATGACGTTTTGAGGTTAAAATGACAGCTTGGGGTTTATTAGGGCGTCCCTGGAAATGTTTCACCCTTGTAAGGAGTCCCCAGACACAAAATGTTTGAGAACCCCTGCTTTAGACAAACAATTGGTTCTGTAAATTGGACTGTATCATAGCTGGGTTTGTTTGAATTCATGACGTGGACTTGTTTATAAAGAGCCTTGAAATGTCTTGTCTTATGATTAGGCTCTTCATAAATAAACTGAATAGAACTAAAACTTTTAAAGGTTGAGTGTTTCCCTCTGATCATCTTAGTGCTGACTGACTGTGTGGTCTTTGATATAAATATACGTTTGTGTGCATATTTCTCCTTTGTACTCGCAGAGTTCCTTCTGAACACGAGACCGTTCCTTTTGTCTCGGCGCAGCAGATCCAAACGTTTGACTCAGTGGTTCCACTGCTGCTCATGTTTTCCGTAAGAGTTCGTGGGATTACGCTGCAGAAAGACCTCAACCACTGACCGACTCTTTACAGAGTCCTGTAAACACGGGCCCAAATACAAATACAGAACTATTTGATCGCTGGATGGATTTTAAACTGAAATCCTTGTTTGATCTTTAGGGGGATGGATGTTTGTCGTGCACTGAGGGGAGGTAAACAGCCCCTTTGATAAACTTGCAGATGATTCTGGCTATACCCGACTAAAACCGTGTATTTTACCACAAGTTCACCTGAATCTTTTTTTTTCTCTTATGGTGCTGCAGCTGAAATATGCAGAATTCTCTGTTGCACATTTATGAACCAGTGAAAAGTGTCGTTTTTAAAGAACAGCAGCTCTAATTCTGAAAACTAATGGATGTTTCAGCCTTTTTTAAACCAACTAGACAGCAGCAAAAAAATACATTAGACTTTCAGCAGAGA